TGGCCAAGTACGACCCCCCCCCTCCCTTTTCAACGTCCCTAAAAGGAGGAAAAATCAACTATCAAATTGAAGTTTTCCTAGCCCAAATATGACCCCCTCTCCTGGCGGCCAAATGCGACCCCTCCCTATTAGAGATTCCCCAACAACGATGTGCCCTGCAACGCGCACAGATCCTTCGTTTCCTCCACAATATACCTGCGGATCGCGGCCAGTTGATTTGAGGGCGGTCGTCAAACGCGGCCGCAAGCGCGTGCCAGGAACTATTTGCTTCCAGACTAATTTTAGTCATTTTTCCAACTTTTCACTGTTTTGGCTACTTTTTCCCAGATTAGCAGCTCCTTATCTTCACAAGGTGGAAAAAATGACTAAATTAGCCTGGAAAAGCAAATAGTTCCTGGCACGCGCTGCGGCCCGTTGACGACCGCCCTAATCAACTGCCCGGATGACGAGGTTACGCGCTGTACGAGCACATTCCATTTCCGCAACTCGAGAGTGCTTAGAGAGAAAGCACAGCGACGATAATCTAGCTCGCCTTCGTTAGTTAGATCTAACCTGCCATTTTATTCTACATTTGCTATCTAGAAGTCGGCTTTAGTGGACGACCCCTTTCTCGGTAATCGCCAGGCTTCAATGCCGATCCCCCCTCGAGAACAGGGGAACGACTTTCTCCTGACAAGAATTCGTCGGATTGTCCGGAAAAAAGTTTCTGCAAATTGCCAAACTTAGCTGTCGTATACACTCCGTTGTAGAACTACACGACACACCCCAAATTTTGTATTTTTGAAGCTGGCACAAACTCGAACGGAGTGTCCATCTCTCTAAAAGGCAGTTCTCTAATTTTCCAGTATACAACTGTCCCTCTATAGGATTGCCTGAAAACGATTCGAGTGTTTGAAGGCAATTGGCACGATAATTTGGTACTCAGCCTGAAATGCTAGTAGGGCGCTGTATAGTGGGGAAATGGCGAAAGAACGGAGTGAAACGGTCAAAATCCTGCGAAGAAAAAGCCTTCGTTCTTAATGACTCAAAAATCAATTTCGGACGAGTTTCCCGTAGGCATCTTGCCAATAACCGCTACCGAAGATACGGCTGCATGTGTGTACTCATATATCCATGCAGCACCGCGGCCGCTTCATACCAATCCCTTCATAATTTGCTTAGCAAATGAATCAATACGAGCGTCAGGAACGGTCGTCCATTTGTGGGCGGGCGGGCGTGGTGGGCGTTCGGGTCGGTATGTTGTAGCTTGATAGGGCCCTTATAAGAGCAGCTTCCTTGGGTTGGGTGCTGCGTAGCACCTATTCAGTGGCGCGGAATTCCGTCCTGCCGTATTAATTACTCGAGCGTCCTGAGGGATTTATCGTGCCAACTGCCTTTAAGATATGATGCTCTAGACTTGCATTCGCTTGTTGCTCGGTTGGTCTTAATTGTTCACTGTAGGTGAACGAGACCTTCCATTAATTATAAGGAGGTCGAGTGCAAGAAGAAATTTGGACGGGCTAGTGGGTGAACAAGTGCGTAAAAATACAGCCATTTGGGAGAAGATAAAAGAACATATTACGGGAGCGTGGAACACCTGCCTCATGAGGGCTCGTTTTCTGTTGATGTTGTCCACTTTTTCTGCTCCGAGTTTGTGATGCATGTTAGCGTGATGGTATTTGAACAATTGTCTTCATCTTGATCGTGCAAGTGAACAGTTTGACAAAATGTGCGATCAGAGGCACCCCCATCCGCAAAGACTCTTATTTTGATGCCTTACTTATGCGACTACGAATCAATTAGTTTTAACCGGATTTAAACTGACGAATAAGCCGTGATAAACTCTGCTCGGACCAAGCAATCCTGCCTATGAAGGCGGATCTTAGGGACTAAAGGTCACCACAATTCTAAAAAGAAAATCACCACAATTCTAAAAAGAAAAAGTCTCACTATACAACTGACCTTGAATTATCCGATTATACTCTCGAATATAGTATCTGTACATTGAATATGTTGCTACAGCCCTACATGCAGTCGTAATCCCTGCAAACAATAGAAAAAAAATGACGCTGTGTGGACTGTGCCGCATTCGAGGAGACAAATTACGCTGGTCACGATGGAAAAGGTCACCCTGGCTGGATCTACTCCAAGCTCAGTCACACGTCCTTTCATTTACAGATATGAATGTACAGAGTTCGCGACCAAATCACATAAATTTCCACGTTGTCTGTTCACTGCCTTAAAATTAAGTCCTCTGCGCTAGGAGCCTACCGATTTTCCATGCGTTTCCGTCTTGTGAAAAACCCCAATTCGTCCATTTGCATTGAAAAACCGGTATTTTCGGTTGATATCGATAACCTACAATTCATAGAGCTTACGCATCAGACTCTCGGAGCCGTTTTAAAACTGAAATACTGATTTTTACTGCTAGCCACATCCACCGCAGTTTCGTCTACACCACTTAATCCGCCTGCTCTTTTCTAATCCTTGGCAATTTTTCCGTCCCCGGTTTTCGGGCTTTTCCCACCTAACTTGTAGTTTTTTTGACTCCGCTCACTGCAGGTAATGCCTTCTTCGTTCTGTATTCACCCCGAGCGACGGCTCGCGTTCGGTGGAGTAGTCGAGCGTACTCAGTCGAAGCAGAACCTCACAACATTGTGGGCACCCTGCGGCTAGGCGTTCGCGGAAGTCTAAAAGAATTCCATTTATAGCGCATTCAGCGGTCCTACATACGGCATACGGCTAAAACACAGTATTGTGGAACCACATTTCTACTGTGCTTCGGCATGCGCTATCACTTCGGTGAAGCTTCTCCTTCGGACGTCATTCATGAAGTCTTATCAGTTATTGTGATTTTTTTGTCAGCCACCAATAATGTTCCTGTCGCATCGCACTCCCCCTATCATTTATTAATCTCTCTAAGGGTAAATTAAATGGAGATATAAATTTAAGGTCGAGCACACACATACACATTCACGGCGGCCTGTGCCTGAACCGCTACAGGCCTATATGTTGGTTATAAATATCGTTATACTCGGTTATAAATATCGAATTTCTCCAGCCATATTGCGTGGATAGGTTGCTGCTTTGTGTAGTGAGAGAGTTCAAGCATAATGGCATGCCGCAGATTCGTGGATGAAGAACATTCTTCCAGAGGATACACTATGGGCAACAGAAGATGGTACGCTTCCAGAGAAAAGCGGAAACAATGCACATTAATTGCGAGAGGCTTCTGTATGACGATAAGGTAGGTTATTTCATCGAAGGTTATGCTGGTCGTTTCTATGAGTTCCATTTTGCAGGGGAACTATTCGAAGATAATGGCAGCATCACGTACTAAGCTGCCCGATCAAGGACTGTCGATGAGCTGCGAACATATTCGAGCTCGAGTGCTTCCTCCGAAGCCACTTGATCAACTGCTATTTGGAGTAGCGCATATACGAATAGTATACGAGGTACGTTTTGAAACCTACATGAGTTAAATACCTGGTGAAAATACTGCCTTATGCGCACCAGTTCCAGAGTTACGAGTTCCTCGAGGATGAACTTAGATCAAGTTATCATCCGCAGAATATCTTTTGTTATTCTATCGATTATAAAGCAAAGCAAGAATTCACACAGAGGATAGAAGCCCTCGCGAAATGCCTTCCCAATGTGCTTGTTCCTAAAGGTTGGCTGGTTATGGAAATTCTATAAACGATTTTAGCAAAACGCTGCAATCTCTGGCGCTATCACCATAGAGAGGAAAGGAAGATTTTCATATACACATTCGAGTTATGCTGCATATCAACTGATAGTGAGAAGGTGACTCGATCTACGATTCTGAAATATTGTCCTTGCCGGTGGATGGTTGGTATTGGCCTCTCTGGAAATATATGCAGTATATGCAGGGTAAAAGGATCAGATAAGATAAAGAAATTGTTCGAAAGCGGTGAGACTAGAATGGAGGTGCCCCTTTGCAAAACAGCAGTTCAAGTAAGATAGCAGAACCGTATTTCATTAGGCAGCATTACCTGCACGATTGCACTGGTCTAATCCATTCCTTCAAGCAGTACTTTTATGACGTGGTCACACCCTAAAGGCATCCGGAAAAAAGCCCTAGCGTAGCTGAGCTTTTTACTCTTTCCAGGACACTGTTATATGGCCTTTTCACAATGTTATA